TGTGTGAGTGTGTGTCTGAGTGCGTGTGTGAGTGCGTGTGTGTGAGTGTGCGTGTGAGTGTGCGTGTGTGTGTGAGTGAGCGTGTGCGTGTGCGTGTGCGTGAGTGTGTGTGAATGTGTGTGTGAGTGTGTGTCTGAGTGCGTGTGTGAGTGCGTGTGTGTGAGTGTGCGTGTGAGTGTGCGTGTGTGTGTGAGTGAGCGTGTGCGTGTGCGTGTGCGTGAGTGTGTGTGAATGTGTGTGTGAGTGTGTGTCTGAGTGCGTGTGTGAGTGCGTGTGTGTGAGTGTGCGTGTGAGTGTGCGTGTGTGTGTGAGTGAGCGTGTGCGTGTGCGTGTGCGTGAGTGTGTGTGAATGTGTGTGTGAGTGTGTGTCTGAGTGCGTGTGTGAGTGCGTGTGTGTGAGTGTGCGTGTGAGTGTGCGTGTGTGTGTGAGTGAGCGTGTGCGTGTGCGTGTGCGTGAGTGTGTGTGAATGTGTGTGTGAGTGTGTGTCTGAGTGCGTGTGTGAGTGCGTGTGTGTGAGTGTGCGTGTGAGTGTGCGTGTGTGTGTGAGTGAGCGTGTGCGTGTGCGTGTGCGTGAGTGTGTGTGAATGTGTGTGTGAGTGTGTGTCTGAGTGCGTGTGTGAGTGCGTGTGTGTGAGTGTGCGTGTGAGTGTGCGTGTGTGTGTGAGTGAGCGTGTGCGTGTGCGTGTGCGTGAGTGTGTGTGAATGTGTGTGTGAGTGTGTGTCTGAGTGCGTGTGTGAGTGCGTGTGTGTGAGTGTGCGTGTGAGTGTGCGTGTGTGTGTGAGTGAGCGTGTGCGTGTGCGTGTGCGTGAGTGTGTGTGAATGTGTGTGTGAGTGTGTGTCTGAGTGCGTGTGTGAGTGCGTGTGTGTGAGTGTGCGTGTGAGTGTGCGTGTGTGTGTGAGTGAGCGTGTGCGTGTGCGTGTGCGTGAGTGTGTGTGAATGTGTGTGTGAGTGTGTGTCTGAGTGCGTGTGTGAGTGCGTGTGTGTGAGTGTGCGTGTGAGTGTGCGTGTGTGTGTGAGTGAGCGTGTGCGTGTGCGTGTGCGTGAGTGTGTGTGAATGTGTGTGTGAGTGTGTGTCTGAGTGCGTGTGTGAGTGCGTGTGTGTGAGTGTGCGTGTGAGTGTGCGTGTGTGTGTGAGTGAGCGTGTGCGTGTGCGTGTGCGTGAGTGTGTGTGAATGTGTGTGTGAGTGTGTGTCTGAGTGCGTGTGTGAGTGCGTGTGTGTGAGTGTGCGTGTGAGTGTGCGTGTGTGTGTGAGTGAGCGTGTGCGTGTGCGTGTGCGTGAGTGTGTGTGAATGTGTGTGTGAGTGTGTGTCTGAGTGCGTGTGTGAGTGCGTGTGTGTGAGTGTGCGTGTGAGTGTGCGTGTGTGTGTGAGTGAGCGTGTGCGTGTGCGTGTGCGTGAGTGTGTGTGAATGTGTGTGTGAGTGTGTGTCTGAGTGCGTGTGTGAGTGCGTGTGTGTGAGTGTGCGTGTGAGTGTGCGTGTGTGTGTGAGTGAGCGTGTGCGTGTGCGTGTGCGTGAGTGTGTGTGAATGTGTGTGTGAGTGTGTGTCTGAGTGCGTGTGTGAGTGCGTGTGTGTGAGTGTGCGTGTGAGTGTGCGTGTGTGTGTGAGTGAGCGTGTGCGTGTGCGTGTGCGTGAGTGTGTGTGAATGTGTGTGTGAGTGTGTGTCTGAGTGCGTGTGTGAGTGCGTGTGTGTGAGTGTGCGTGTGAGTGTGCGTGTGTGTGTGAGTGAGCGTGTGCGTGTGCGTGTGCGTGAGTGTGTGTGAATGTGTGTGTGAGTGTGTGTCTGAGTGCGTGTGTGAGTGCGTGTGTGTGAGTGTGCGTGTGAGTGTGCGTGTGTGTGTGAGTGAGCGTGTGCGTGTGCGTGTGCGTGAGTGTGTGTGAATGTGTGTGTGAGTGTGTGTCTGAGTGCGTGTGTGAGTGCGTGTGTGTGAGTGTGCGTGTGAGTGTGCGTGTGTGTGTGAGTGAGCGTGTGCGTGTGCGTGTGCGTGAGTGTGTGTGAATGTGTGTGTGAGTGTGTGTCTGAGTGCGTGTGTGAGTGCGTGTGTGTGAGTGTGCGTGTGAGTGTGCGTGTGTGTGTGAGTGAGCGTGTGCGTGTGCGTGTGCGTGAGTGTGTGTGAATGTGTGTGTGAGTGTGTGTCTGAGTGCGTGTGTGAGTGCGTGTGTGTGAGTGTGCGTGTGAGTGTGCGTGTGTGTGTGAGTGAGCGTGTGCGTGTGCGTGTGCGTGAGTGTGTGTGAATGTGTGTGTGAGTGTGTGTCTGAGTGCGTGTGTGAGTGCGTGTGTGTGAGTGTGCGTGTGAGTGTGCGTGTGTGTGTGAGTGAGCGTGTGCGTGTGCGTGTGCGTGAGTGTGTGTGAATGTGTGTGTGAGTGTGTGTCTGAGTGCGTGTGTGAGTGCGTGTGTGTGAGTGTGCGTGTGAGTGTGCGTGTGTGTGTGAGTGAGCGTGTGCGTGTGCGTGTGCGTGAGTGTGTGTGAATGTGTGTGTGAGTGTGTGTCTGAGTGCGTGTGTGAGTGCGTGTGTGTGAGTGTGCGTGTGAGTGTGCGTGTGTGTGTTTGTGAGTGTGTGTGTGTGAGTGTGTCTGAGTGTGTGTCTGAGTGTGTGTCTGAGTGCGTGTGTGAGTGCGTTTGTGTGAGTGTGAGTGTGAGAGTGCGTGTGCGTGTGCGTGAGTGTGTGTGAATGTGTGTGTGAGTGTGTGTGTGTGTGTGTGAGTGTGTGTGTGAGTGTGAGTGTCTGTGTGAGTGTGTGTGTGTGTGTGTGTGTGTGAGAGAGTGTGTTTAACACATTGAGAATGTTGTATAGGCTCAAACCTTCATTTCTGTGTATGTTTGATGTGAATTGTGTTGGATTTATTGATTTTTATTGGACAAATAAAAATGCTTTGAATTTTGGTATTTCCCATTCATTTCCTATGGATGCCAATTTTTGGACACAAAGGTCAAATTAAGGATTATTTTTTTCAACCACTTAACATTGTTGAATCGAGTCCTCTTTGTGTGTGTGTGTGTGTGTGTGTGTTCAGGCAACAAACGTACGAAAAGTAGCCAAGTCTTGAACTGCTCAGATTAAGGAAAATATTTTTTTTAAAACAAAACAAAATTATTTTGCCCACAATTTGTCCTGAAGGTTGATTGAGGGTTAAAGAATTTAATTTTAATTTAATTAATTTTAAATTAAATTAAACAGTACATCAGAAAAAAAGCATTTTATGAACATATGTATTTAAGGACTTCATCTTTTCCAAAATCAGAAAAATTAGGAACAAATATCTTTGGTATCTATGTATTTATATTTAGGCTTAAACATTTATATTTAAAGAATTAGGCTGAGTGTTTTTTTTATTAGACTTGTTCATTTTAAATTAAATTAAACAATACATCAGAAAAAAGCATTTTAGAAACATATATATAAGGACTTAGGTTTAGATCGTTTTTTTTATCAAATGTATTATTATTAATTTAATTTGTATTTATATTTAGACTTGTATTTATATTTAAAGACTTAAATTTATGTTTTATTATAATTATTAATTTTAAATTAAATAAACAAAAATGGCCTTTTAAGAAAAAACTATTTTTGTATTTATATTTAAATGTATATAATATAACATTTATATTTAAAGACCTTGGAGTTTTTATCATTATTATATTTATTGACTTTAAATAAAATAAAATTACATTGTTTTATCATTGCACAGTGTATGAGGGGATTTTTTTATTTTTATTAGCATGTTTGAGCATGTTTGATTGGCCTGTTTGTTTATTTGTTTGTTTGTTTTTCCCCATTAGTGATGTAAAAAGTAAGGATCTGCGCTCATAAGCGTGTTTATTGCTGTGTTCTCTCCGGCTGTGGCTCGTTTCATCAGCGTTTCTTGACGTTGCATCACAGTTCCTCCGTTCTGAGCGGAAGGTTTTCATGTCGTCTGTAGTTTCTCGTGATCAGAGCTGAAGCTTCGTTTGTCTGTCAGACTCATTAAAGCCGCTGATTGCTTTGGTCATAGTGTTCGCTCAGCTTTCTCTAACAGACTGACGGAAAGAACACAATCTTTTAGAAAACTGTGTGAAAAATGATCAAATAAATGTTTTTTAAAAATAAGATTTTTTTTGTTGTTGTTTAAATTTGAATTAAAATAGTGAAAATAATATGAAAAATAAATGTTAAAAAAAGTTACAAAAATTTTTAATCGTTCAAAAAAACATTTTATTCATCATTCATTTTTGTTATAAAATAAATGTTTTTTTTAAATGTTAAAATAAATTATTTTACACGTATACATTAAAATTAGATTAAAATAGTGAAAACATGAAAATAGTAAAAAAATACTGTTTTTAATTTTTATCTCAAGTTTATTATATATAATAGTGAAAAATACTGCAAATACCGCTTTTAATATTGCAAAACAGTAAAAATACTATCTATAATATTCAGTTTATAAATGTATATTAAATGCCATTATTATTACCACATGTTCTCATGTTTGTTTGTGTTTATTTATTTATTTAGTAATATGTAGTATATATTTAAAAACATGATTTTTCAGAATTGTACATAAAAGATATCGTCTCAGGTTACTTATGTAACCATGGTTCCCTGAGTAGGGAACGAGTCATTTAGTAATATGTAGTATATATTTAAAAACATGATTTTTCAGAATTGTACATAAAAGATATATATATATATATTAGAGTGTTTTACAACCAAATATAATTTCAGTCTTTCTACTTCAAAATGATATGCTTCGTTCAGTGTGTTTCTTGCTGTTTCTTTGTAATTATTTGTGAAATTTACTAGCGATTTCTGCAATTTAGTAACTTATTTAATATTTATTTTTGCATGTGTGAAAAGTTTTAATATTAAAGTTTTTCATTGTGATTTTTTGGTGGATTGTATTGAATGAAATTAGGGTCAAGTGTTAATTATAATAATGAATAACTGTTATTAATTGAAGTGCGATGTGTTTACTGTAACTCAGCTGCTGATCTGATGAATGTGTTCTCTTCACAGCTCCCATCAATCCTGATCTGAGTGAGTATTTATGCAGTATTCCTGCCTTGCTTTCTTTCTTTCTTGAGTATTTTCAGGAGTGTAGCGTGTCCTCTGGTTTCTCCAGGATCTCCTGCATTAGTTTGAGTCGTGAGGGTGAAGCCTGTGTTAATGCTGATGAGCATTCATCCTCACACAGCTCGTCAGTGTGTGTTAATGACAGTCCTGATGACGAGGAATCTCTCCGACGCTCGTTTCCAAACACAGCACATGCTTTCAGGCCACTTCAAACAGACACTCTGTATTTAAAAAACTTATTTGTAGTACACTTGAGTGTACTAGTGTATGAAAGATGGGTTCTAGTATTTATTCATGGTGTCCCAAAATAGCACAGTTGAACTTAGGTTCATCTTAAGAAGTACTAAAGAATCATTTTTAGTATATTAAGTACAAAATTAGTGTGTGACAATAGAGCACTTTAAGTACATTATGGAAGTGTACTTTTTTTAACCTGGGATATATCAAAACTTAATGTTTGATTAGTAATATGCATTGCTAAGAACTTCATCTGAACAACTTTAAAGATGATTTTCTCAATATTTAGATTTTTTTGCACCCTCAGATTCCAGATTTTCAAATATTGTATCTCAGCCAAATATTGTCCGATCCTAACAAACCATACATCAATGGAAAGATTATTTATTCAGCTTTGAAAAAAAATTTACACTTAAGACTGGTTTTGTGGTCTGCGTCACATATTTCATGAGGTTAACTTATTTGTGATCAGTCTGCACAAGATCAACATGCTTGTTTGCGTTGCGGCTCCTTTAAATAAAGACCAAATATTCGATCATCAGAGCGTCTGTAAATCTTTCTACCGGCAGCGGTGTGAATGCATGAGTGTGTGAGATGAGGATGAGGAGGATGAGGAGGATGATGAGGATGACGATGATGATGAGGATGATGAGGATGACGATGAGGAGGATGAGGATGACGATGAGGATGATGAGGATGTTGATGATGAGGATGATGAGGATGAGGATGATGATGAGGATGACGATGAGGATGACGATGAGGACGATGAGGATGATGATGAGGATGATGAGGATGATGATGAGGAGGATGACGATGAGGATGACGATGAGGAGGATGATGACGATGAGGATGTTGATGATGAGGATGAGGATGATGATGAGGAGGATGAGGATGTTGATGATGATGAGGAGGATGATGATGAGGAGGATGACGATGAGGATGATGAGGATGATGATGAGGATGAGGATGATGATGAGGATGATGAGGATGACGATGAGGATGACGATGAGGATGAGGATGAGGATGAGGATGACGATGACGATGAGGATGATGATGAGGATGAGGATGACGATGAGGATGTTGATGATGATGATGAGGATGATGATGACGATGATGAGGATGATGACGATGATGATGATGATGAGGATGACGATGAGGATGAGGATGACGATGAGGATGATGATGACGATGAGGATGTTGATGAGGATGATGAGGATGATGAGGATGTTGATGATGAGGATGATGATGATGACGATGATGATGAGGATGATGATGATGAGGATGATGATGATGAGGATGATGATGAGGATGATGATGAGGACGATGATGATGACGATGAGGATGATGATGATGACGATGAGGATGATGATGATGATCTCTCTAAGCCTGCTTCTGTTTGTTCTCAGGAGAGTTTCACTGCAGTTTTGAGGAGGATCCCGTCTGCATGTTCACTCAGGACAAGAATGATGACTTCGACTGGACGAGACACAGCGCAGCCACACGCGACACCAAATACACGCCCAACACGGGGCCCAGCGGGGACCGCAGCGGCTCCAAACAGGGTACGAGCTTCTGAGGCCTTTAGGACAGAATCAGTTTCAGTCTCTCTCACCCGAGCAGCTCTTACCTAATCTTCATCATTTCTTTCATCTTCAACCTGTTATATTTTTAGTTATTAATATAAATCATTTTAGAAATATTTATTTATATTTAATATATGATACACTATGTAGTAGTAATATTAGTATATACAGAGTTTTTGGCTAAATTCCCATTTTGTAGTTGTACAGAATAAACTAGAAATATTGTATATTAAATATATTTTTACATATTACATATTCATATATACGCATATATATATATATATATATAATTTTGTGAAATATTATTGCAATTTAAAATAACAGTTTTCTATTTCAGCATCATTACTCCAGTTTTCAGTGTCACATGCCAAAAATCATTAGGATATTAAGTAAAGATCATGTTCCATGAAGATATTTTGTAAATATCCTACCGTAAATATATCAAAACTTAATGTTTGATTAGTAATATGCATTGCTAAGAACTTCATTTGAACAACTTTAAAGATGATTTTCTCAATATTTAGATTTTTTTTGCACCCTCAGATTCCAGATTTTCAAAAAAAAATTCTAAATTATTTTCTTTCTGCATTTCCATTTATTTTTGTAAACAGAAACAGTACAATTAGGGGAAAATCTAATAATAGTAATAATGCAATATATATTGGTGTGTATGTTGAAGTAAAATTTTAGATCTTTTATACTGCTCTTGGGTTTTTTATTTATATGTATTTGATACTTTTAGTTTGTTGTGTTGATGTTTGTGTTTGTATCTTATGGTGAAGCCAAAGATGACAATAGCAATAATAATACTAACAAATAACAATAATAATAATATTAATAATAGAAAGAAAAGTACAAAAATTATTTTGAGTTATATATATATATATATATATATATATATATATATACACACACACACACACATATATATATACATATGTTGTATATACATTACTGTTGTTATTATGTTGTGTACTATATATATATATGATATGTAAGAAAGTGCAGTTAGATTGCTTCAGTGTTAGTCACCTGAGCACGCGTGTTACAGCAGTTTCTATTACTGTGTGTGTCTCATGATTGTGTTTGTGTGGTTATCAGGTTTCTTCATGTACATCGAGACGTCCAGACCTCGTAAAGACGGCGACACGGCGCGTCTCCTGAGCCCCACGTTTAATGTGGCCCCCAAAAACCCCTACAGCATCACCAGCCCTCCGGTTTACTGCTTCAGCTTCTACTACCACATGTACGGCAAACACATCGGTAAGAGCCACAGACGTGCTAAAACCCATCAACATGATCACTTTCTGCAATTATTGACCACACTTTGACCTCTATAGTGGTTTAGTAAAATCTACAGTGTACTATTATAGTATTTATTAATGTTTTGAAGTGAATGTTAGTTTTTTTTATTTATAATTATAATAACTATATTATAATTCGATTATATTCATTTTTGTTTTTTATAATTCTATTTAGCTTTATTTTTTATTTCAGTTTTAGTAATTTAGTTTTAGAAATTTAAACTTGTTACTTTAATAATTTGCGTTTAAGTTTTTTTTTTTTACATTTATCTAATTTTGTCTTTTATTTTATTTCAGCTTTCAGCAACTGAAAACAATTTTCATGGTTTTCAGTAGTTTCAATAGTTTATTTTAGTAATTTATATTTCAGTTGGTTGCCAAAGCAAACATTACACATTTTTAAGTTTTCAATGTTTTTTTTTTATTATTAATTAAACTGGTTTTCATTCCGTTTTCATTTTGATTTTAGTGCAAGTTTTAAGAACTTTGTGCATTTTTTTAGAGTTTTTTTTAACTCTGTTTGGCTTTAATTTAGTTTGTTATTTCAATTTTTGTAATTTAGTTTTAGTAAACGTATTTCAGTTAGTTGCCAATGCAATGTTACAAATGATCATTATTATTGTTTTTTTATCTTTTTTTTTTCATTTTCATTTTAGTGTGAGTTTTAGTAGTTTTGTTATGTGCTTTTGTCATTTTTATTAGTTTTAGTTTTTTTATAATTTCATTTAGCTTTCACTGGCCTGGTTTCACATACAGGGCTTAGACTAAACCAGGATTAGACCATAGTTCATTTAGAAGAGACAAAACAAAGACACTGATATATTTTAAGATCAGTCAGTGCAAGTTTCTTTCAGTTGAAACAGCTCAGACTTACATTTTAGTCTTGTGTTTGAAACCGGGTGTTTATTATTTTAATTTTAGTTTTATTAATTTATTCATTTAGTTTTAGTAATTTAAACATTTTATTTTACTTAGTTGCTAAAGTAACATTACTGATTTTCATTGAAGTTATAGTATTTTTTTATTTAATTTTTGTGTTTTATTTTGTTTCACCTTTGTTTCATTTTAAACAATTTTGATAGTTTTAGTTAATGACAATTCTGACTCTGAAGTATTTTGAACACATTGTGCCATATTTAAATTCACAGATTTTTTTCCCACTTCCACTTAAGAGAGTTTTAAAGATTAATGAGCACTTTGAATCTGCACAGATAAAGATTGCCATATTTGTTGTGCATGTGGTTGAATATACAGCTGTATAGAAGCACCACGACACCTCATTCATGTCTAAATCCGACGTTTTATCCCAGCGGAGCAGCTGCTGGAATATAATGAGAGAGGAGTCCATTTAAGAGGATAAGAGGATATCGCTCACATTAACATGAGCAGAAACGCTTTCATTCCTCTTTACATGTGTTTCACTCAGGAAGATTGAGCGGATTGATATCTAAACCTGACCGTAATGTCTTGTTTAAGGCAAAACGCTGTAGGTGCATACAATTTGCATACATTTCCAGAACATAAAATTGAACACTGGATAAAGCTAGACTTAATATTCTTTTTTGATTGTGTTGACATATTAGAGTTCAAAGTTTTTATAGAGGGGATTCTGGATTTCTCTTTTTATAACTCCATAAATCAGAAAATACTGTCAACAGACAGAAAAACTCTACATTTTATCCTTGTTTAAGAAATATAATTGTAAAAATATATCAACCAAATGGTAAATTAACAAACCTCTCTATAAAATCCTTCAGAATATAGATAGGAGTAAAACTGTAAGTTTTGGTGTATGTAAGTGCTGCTGAAGTGGACAAAAAAACTTTTGAATATATGTATTGCTATTGAAATCTTCAGATACAAATAGATAACGTGCAGTGTGTTTTTTTATGTTTTCTTTCCACTAGTCTGAACATTGGTTCAACATTCTTGTCTGATTTTGTTGACATATTAGAGTTAAAGGTTTATCCAGAGGGATTCTGGATTTCTCTTTTTTATCACTCCATAAATCAGAAAATAGCCTACCACAAACAGGCAGAAATACATTTTCACATAAAATGTTGTTAAAAATATCAGGTGAATGTTATATGAACAAACCCCTCAGTAAAAATCTTCAGAATATAGACAGAAATAAAACTCTAAGTTTTGGTGTATGTAAGTGCTGCTGGAGTGGAGGAAAAACTTTTAAAGTTATTGATTGGAAATTAAATCTACAGACACAAATAGATCAAAATATAATAAAACGAACAGTTACATGTGTATTTTTGATTATTTTTTCCCCCCACTAGTCTGAACATTGGTTCAAAATTTGTATTTGATTTTGTTGATATTTTAGAGTTAAATGTTTTTCCAGAGTTGATTCTCGATTTCTCTTTTTATTACTCCATAAATCAGAAAATACTGTCAACAGACAGAAAACAAACATTTCGCCATGTTTTTAGGAATAAAATGTTATATAAATTAGAGTGAATGTTATATGAACAAACCCCTCAGTAAAAATCTTCAGAATATAGAGAGGAATCAAACTCTAAGTTTTGGTGTATGCAAGTGCTGCTGGAGCGGAGGAAAAACTTTTGAAGATGTGTTAGAATTGAAATTTAAATGTTTTCTTTCCACACGTCTGAAACAAGGCATGTTATGGAAGCAAAATAGACCTCAAAACTGACCAGTTCATGAGAGTCGATTATTGTCTTCAGATTTCCACACACCTTTCCCAAATACCCAAAGCAAGCATGATTGTTAATTTACCATCCTACAGCTTTGACCAGGTAGAAACCAAGTACAATCGATTGATTTGCAATTTGACTTGCGCTCTTCAGCTCTTCTGTTGGACGGAGTTCAGTTGTTAAATTAATTGATTGTATTTTCCCACAGGCTCTCTGAATGCATTTGTGAAGCAGAAAGGTCAGTCGACTTCAGATGCCGGTCCAGTCTGGTCTCTCAGCGGGAACCAAGGGGACCGATGGAGACAAGCCAAAATTAGCATCCATCCTACTGCCTCCTTCCAGGTGAGCGAACTGCACGTGTAACACGGAGACATTCACATTCATTCAGTATTTATAGAGCATTTTTGTGAGGTTTAGAAGGAAATTGATAGTTTTAGTCATTAAAGGGATAGTTCACACAAGAATGAAAATGTGATGTTTATCTGCTTACCCCCAGGGCATCCAAGTTGTAGGTGACTTTGTTTCTTCAGTAGAACACAAACTGAGATTTTCAACTCAAACCGTTTCAGTCTGTCAGTCATATAATGGAAGTGAATGGGAATCACGACTTTGAGAGTCAAAAAACATACACAAACAAAACCAAATTAAACCCTGTGGCTCTTGACGATACATTGATGTGTAAAGATACGAAACGATCGGTCTGTGCAAGAAACTGAACAGTATTTATATCGTCTTTTACCTCTGATTTACTGCAATGTCCGAACTGTCCTGAGCACGTTTGCGTCTTCTTCTTCAGCCGGCACGTGACGCGTCTTCTTCTTGCTTGACACTCTATCTACAATCTCAATTAGGAGTATCAATGGTCCATTTGAGCGATAGGGGGTGGTAATGCACTTATAAGTCTGCGATCCGCCGTAAAGCAAGAAGAAGAAGAAGACGTGTCACGCACTGATTGAAGAAGAAGATGCAAACATGCTCAGGACGCGCTCAGGACAGTTCGGACATTGCAGGTAAAAAACTATATAAATACTGTTCAGTTTCTTGCAGACCGATTGTTTTGTGTCTTTACACATGAATGTATCATCACGAGCCACAAGAACACATTAAATTGATGATAAGTGACAGTAAAGACATTTATAATGTTACAAAAGATTTCTATTTCAAATAAATGATGTTCTAGTGAACTTTTTTATGCATCAAAGATTCCTGGTATTTCAGTATCAATGATATACTATATTTTCACTTAGTATTTTGGATTAGATTTTATTTTTATATATTCTGTTTTCATTTTAATTTTAGTTAAAGTTTTAGAACCTTTGTTAGTTGTTTTTTTTAAATGTATATATAGTTTTTTTTTCATTTAGGTTTTTTTCAGTTTGTTTTGTTTTAGTTCTTTTAGTACGTTAACTTGAATTAAATAATAATGAGACATTTTGATTTGGCAACTAGCTGATACAAAAAAAAACTTTTATTAATCAATTAAATATTAATATTGATCAAAAGTGCCAGTAAAGACATTTATAATGTTACAAAAGATTTATATTTCAAATAAATGCTGTTCTTTTGAACTTTTTGTTCATCAAAGAAACCTGAAGAATAAAATGTGTCACAGTTTCCACAAAAATATCGTGCAGCACAACTGTTCTCAACATTGATAATAATCAGAAATGTTTCTAATAATCAGCATATTATACTGATTTCTGAAGATCATGTGACACTGAAGACTGGAGTAATGATGCTGAAAATACAGCTGCGCATCACAGAAATACATTACAGTTTAACACATATTCACATCAATAATATTTCACTGTTTTACTGTATTTTTGATCAAATAAATGCAGCCTTGGTGAGCAGAAGAGACCTCTTTCAAAGACAAAAAAAGTCTTACTGTTATATTTATAGTTTTTTTGTAAATGTAATGTGTATATATATATGTATATATCATTTTATGTCCTAAATGTTTTTATGAAGTCACAAAGCATCATATGAAACAGTAAGTCACTTGAGGTCATGCTGTATTTTGAAAATAGCCTAATAGCACAACCTCTCATATTTTGCAGAAGCTTATGTCGAGTCCAGAAGAGGCTCTTGAGATTAACTTTATTTTGTTTGTGCTCCATTTCCATCACACAGGTGATATTCGAGGGCATCCGCGGCCCCGGGATCGAGGGGGACATCGCCATTGATGATGTCACGCTCGAGGAGGGGGAGTGTCCTGACCCTCCGTCCAATCGTATGTATCGAGCATGCATCTCCATGGTAACCAAGCCGTAATTGCATGTAGCACAATTTTGTCCAGGAGAGCTCAGTAATTACAGGAGAACAAACAGCGAGAAAGACGGAAATTAGGCCCGGTAATGGGCTGGAATTGACAAGAGCAGCAGTGAGAGCGAAACGCGGCTCCACTTCTGCTGGAAACATCATAAAAAACCTTCCTTCTGGAGCCAAACTACAGCTGTAATCGTGACGTGAAGCTATGTGTTCATCATTATTATTAGGCATCAGGTTTTCCATTATTATCCAAAGCTGCGTGACTGTAAGAGACGTCTCGTATCGATCTCACCGTGAGATGTGTTTGTGTTGTAAATACAAGCGTGGTGGAGAACGATCAAATGCTGCAGTAATAATATGCACTGGAGGATGATTATGAATCACAGAAATACAGTTCAGACATTTATGAACAACCGTGTGTGTGAAAAACATTAGAGAGAGACGCTTTTGAATGCTGTTTACTGAGTCAAGCAAGTGTTAACGCTTTCCCCATCAGCGGTTTTTTTTTTTTAAGTTGCCAGTCACCGCCAGCAATTTTTTACATTTCCACGAAACTTTCATGGGCCCCATAATATTTTGATGCATGAATAACTTAAGTTTTTCATTCTGGTTCTAATGAGAGCGTCTGGAGATTTGGTTTGCTGCTCACACTGCACCCATTAAATATAACTATAAAAAATAAAAGAATAATAGAAATAATAGTATTAACGGACTTTTAAAAAATAAATAAATTGAAAAAATTTGAAATAAAAAGTGAGTATTAAATAAAAATACAATTATTTTATAGCACACTTAAAAAAGTGCAATGCTAATATTTACATTTTCTTTTATTTATTTATTTTTTACTTTTTATTTTTATATGAATTTTCATCATTTTTGATGTAGCTGAGAAGTCAGATTTATGCTTTCGGTTCGAATGGAAATCTTATACAGTTTATTAGAGTTAGTCGATCTAAAACGGTGATTGTGCATTAACAGCTGTCAACCACATCGGTACAAAAAACAGTGAAAACACGGAAAGCTGGAAAATTCCCTTAATGCTGGGGAAAGATTTAAAGGCACAGTTCACCCAATAATGAAAACCCTCATCATTTACTCACCCTTATGTCACTCCAAACATATACGAGTTTCCTATTTCTGTTGAGCACAAAAGAAGATATTTTAGAGAATGTTGCTATTCAAACAGTTGACTTTAGCCATTGACTTCCATAGCAGTTTTTCCATACTATTGAACCCAATGGCTACCGTCAACTGTATAGTACCACACTAACATCCATTCAGATTGTGCAACTGCACAGCAACTCCCACATCTACATGACAGCCCCAGGCATCATGCTGGTTAGTTTTGATCTGGTTATCTGGTTAGTGCTAACCTCTTTCTCTGTGTTTCCCACAGCGATCAGAGGAGCGGCTGCATGTGGCGTCTCCAGTATATGGCCACTGAGCGTCACGCTGTTTTTTACCGTAATCATCGGTCAGAGGTGACGCTCCACGTGAGAAAAGACTCCAGATGCGTCCCTCAATATTTAATCACCAAAGATTCATGCTTTCGGATCGCAGAGGAGGCACAACAACAGATCCACGCGGAATGAAACGACCACAAACAGAAACTAATGCTTAAAATATTAAATAAATTAACGTTCTCTGATGCTCCGATGTCTGGAATCAACCGAGGATTTGAACGTTGACGTCAAAAGCACAACGAATACTTCGCAATCTGGATTTACCTGAAAGACAAGCGAAGGCAGTTTCGTGAACGAACATTGAGTTTTACACACCATTCCCCTTCCTTTTTTCCATCTTGAGATGTTCTTTTCTGGTGCTTTGGAGTAACGTCTCATCCTCTGGTTGATCTTCTCTTGATTTGTTCTGGGTTTGGTTCGGATCGGTGCTTTAAAAGCAAATAAAACAGAACCTTGTTTCGCTTTATTCCCCGACTCCAGTAGCAGGCTGATTTCTCAACACTGTGCTCACGTTCTCAAGCGGAGAACTTTGCGTTTTTTGGCATCCGTGACGGTGAAAACCTTGGTTTGTCGTCGTTCCCGGCACCGGCTGAGTGACAGAGTTTCTGCCATTAAAAAAGAAGTGCCTTCAGGTTAAAAACCGATCCGTTAGCCTGGCCATCGACAACAAACGTCCATGTTTCTAACATCTGCGATGGGCTATTTTATACTCATTTCTATCGCCCCTCAAGTGCTGGAATGCACGACTGCGAGCGTCACATACGAATAATCGCGAACACACGATGTTTGGCTGCTGGAGGACGATGTATGGACAAATGTCACGCTCTCCATCCCCGGCTATCATGCCTCTGTCATTTATATACCGAACAATGTGCATTCTGAGAGAAAAATACTAAATATTCATAACTATAATAATATTTTATTACTCTATCCAGAATGTGTCTCAGCTTTTACAAACGAACTGTGAAAATCGATGGCGGTATCTACCTGAGCGCTCGACCGGACGCTTTTTAAAAAGGGTGTTGTAAAAAAAAAAAAAACGTGATATGAAAATGTTTTGACAAGAAGCTGTGTCTCGTTTCTTCTGATTTACGTTGAAATGTTCCGACTTTACTGTCTTTATTTCTCGTCGTCTCCCTTGCATTGCTGAAAATATCAAAAACGGGCAGAAAGACGCCGGTTTGGTAACTGTACAACTTGTATATGTAAAGAAGCTCTGTTCATTGAGATTTATATGAGATGTTTTATGAACGAGTCAAAGGAAGCACAACATTTAGGATTCAGTCATTTATAAACATCATACATGTGACCGTCCTCCTGCAAAACCAGCGTGAAAATAAAGTGACGCCGGAAGCTGACTTTCACTAAGAATTGAATTTAAAAAAAGAATCAAAATGGACTTTGCATTGGACTGCTTTCGAATAAATGTGCACATTGCTCATGCATATGGTTAAAAACAAAATAGGATGTAAATTACTGGCCCGGAATACAAAAACATCACAAGCTGATTAATGATATTCAAACGTCATTTAAAGAAATAGTTCACCTCAAAATAAAATGTGCTCACCCTCAGGTCATCCAAGATGTACTGTAGATGAGTTTGTAGAAATGTAGCACTGCATCAGTCCCTCAGCAATGGATGCTCTGCAGTGAATGGGTGCCGTCAGAATGAGTGTCCAAACAGCTACTCCTATAATCCACAGCACTCCAGTCCATCAGTTAACATCTGGAGAAGACAAAAGCTGAAACACATCCAGCATTAAGACGCTTTTAACTAAAATACATAGAGTCCATAATCCATAATAACTCTTCCTCCAGTGAAAAAGTGCATCTGCTGTTGTCTCTCACATCAACATCCAGCCACATATGTGTTTAGAGCTGTTTAAACGCTGCTTGATCTGTGCAGATTTCTCTCCTGATTCACACCAGAACACTTCTTCACTGGAGGAAGCCTTATTATGGATTATTATCCAGCTAACAGGGAATGTTCTCTCAACGTTATGAACAGCTGTTCCTCCAGTAACAACAGAACATTCGTTCAGAGTTATCTGGTCTTTAATAATGTTCTTAAAACGTTATTTATACATTGTCCATGGAACAGCATTTCAGTTGGACGTTCGTGTAACGTTTTTTAAACGTTGCTACTTGTTTCAGAACATTCCGAGAACATTCCAAAAGTAACATTCCCATAATGTTTGCAAAATGATACAATGGAATGATCCCTTAATGTGCGTTCTTTAAAGTTTGTCAAAACCTAAACAAAATATTCTTAGAACATTTTGCTGGATGGAATTATGGATTATGGACTCTATGGTATTTTAGTTAAAAGCGTTTTAGCGCTGGATTTGTCTCAGCGTGTGTCTTCTCCAGATGTTAACTGATGGACTGGAGTGCTGTGGATTATTGTGATGTTTTTATCAGCTCTCATTCTGATGGCACCCATTCGCTTGCAGTGAGACACTGATGCAGTGCTACATTTCTACAAAGCACATTTTCAGATAATGTTCATTTTTGAGTGAAATACTCCTTTAAAAGTGAAGTGTGTTGTTGTTGTTTGGGGTATTTGGGTGTCTCTTTGTAAAACCCATTAAGAACATTGACACATCGTTGGTTTTATTTTAGATGAATGATGGTGCGATGCAGCAGGTGTTGATTATGTAGACGTGCGTCACCTCAGTAGCCGTTTCATAATGGAAACGTTTCATATTCTGCAGTGCTCGCTGTATTGTCGCATTACAAACAACGTGAGTTCAAGAACGCCAGTCATGAAGTCCTGAACCATAATGTGCAATTTCCTTCCTTGTGCCCCAAAATAACCTTTAATTTGTGAATCAGCAGGAGGGTAAAGAATGAGCCGAGTGCGTAACGAAGCGTGATTATTCTCCTGGTTTTACTGCAGGACGTCACATATATGTGCTGGTATATGCAGTGTACCGTAGGTCTAAACAGAGTCACTTCATGATGTAAAAGATTCATTCACAGTACAATGACTGACACTTGTTACAGGACTTCAGAATCATCCGTCTAATGAATCCCGAGTCAAATATACGGAGTCTTTATGATGTAAAAATGAACAATAAAGGAAATACTAATGATGTTAATTAAGGGCTAAAGGCATCTCAGCTTGTTTCTGTGTGAGCATGTACTACATGAAAGCTTGTGTTGTTATTATTTGCCAAAAGAAGTCGTGGATGTCATTTGTTTTCCGAGTTGGGCGATGTACTGAATGCATTTGTGATGATCTGCTGGTGAAAATGAACTGGCATTGTGAGTATTGCAGTGATTTTAAAGCACTTTTTGTTTGGTGTTCGCATGTGATTCATTCGAGTGAATCACTTCAAACTGTCCGATTCCTCAGTTGCTTTAAAAGTCATTTTCTTACATTCAAATGTTTTGTTAAAAATGCTATGTACTGTAGGTAAATATTGCTGTTTATTATTCTGTGTTGTTGGTGGTGTGTATAAATGAAAATGATTCAGTATCATTTTTCTTTGTGTTCGTTTAGTGAGAAACTGGTGCAAACATGCCTTGATTGTTTGAATTAGATTTTTACTGTTTTACTTTTAGGTTTAAACTTTTATATATTGAGTATTGTCTGAAAATTTTGGGATAGTTGTATCGTCCAGCTCGAATGCCAGGATAACATTTTGTTAGAGTAACATTTGGTTAATTTAGCCCTCTTATTGCAAAACTGCATACACTTTTTTTGCATTTCTTGGTCGACAGAACACTAGGTTATATAACATTTTAAAACTAAATTAAATGTTACAGTGTTTGAAAATTTGAAGATTTCAAACTTTGTAAGAACTACAGCGAAACCACTGCAATGAGAGAAAATATATACTGTATTTTTTTCGATAGTCGTGAGAAATTTTATTTTATATCTCAGAATTCAATTAAAACTATTAGAATTAATAGAACTTAATTAAATTCCTTTGAACTTATAAATCATGCTGCTCACAAACAATCCAAATTTATAAAAACCTGCATATTCTTTTTCTGACAAAACAACATAAATATTACTCTGGAATGTGTTCAAACAAAATATATTCATTTTACTTTGTGTTTTAGATGATCAACAGCCTGAATGTGGACTTCTACTCTTTCAAACTCAATTTCTTCATCAAATTAAGTCTGTTTGGTCTTGAGCTTTTGCGCTTCATCTCTTTGGGCTGTAGTTCTTCAGATATTGTTTATTTACATCACTTACATCTTTTGTCTCTTTATAGTGTTTTTGAGTGTGCATAGTCAAATTTACCAACAAAACTCAGACCTAAAAGTGTGTGTGAGCCACAGAAAAGAGGTTTAAGTCATTTGAGACAAATAAATAAAAATTTTTAAAAAATCATGTGTAAAGCCATGCACAGTTCACTGACCCGAACACAGAACAATTTAGTTTAAATGGTTATATCTCTTTTAAAAATCTGAAAAAAATTAATGATGTGTATTTTTATATTCTTCATCCATATGCGGAGCTTTTTTCCTGAACTAACAACAATGGAATTTTTAGAAATTTTTATGCACCGCTTTTTTTTTTGAATGCAGATGAAGGGTGTTTATGATGCGTTTATGCGTTTAGATCAATGTAAACGTAAGTTCTGATCTGATGTCCTGTAACAGCCGTTCAGTCATTATACTCACTCAATATCCAATAATGCTTCCTTTCACTGTATTCCTTTGGATTTACCATCCATTTTTGTGTCATTCTTGCAACTAATGATGAAAAAATAAAGAAAGCTATTTTACATCTGTGTTGGTGAAACGCATTGCCAGAAATCCTTCTTGTTCCTGGAGTATTTTGCAGGCTAATCAGACATTATTTATTGATTTGTGCAAGTTTTTGTTTAGTCACAAACAGTCTTGATTAGAAAAAAAGCAGATATTGAGCATTTCTACATATAGTTTACTTTATAGTGGGGCATGTTGTCACAACGGGAGCTGTTACTGATTTGAGTAGATTCGTATAAAAATTAAAATATTATCAGTGTTTTCCACATCATTTAAATCCATTGCAGGCTATTTAATGTCTTTTCACCAAAATGTTGAGAATAGAGCAATTCATGAAAACAAAATCTTGAAAAAATAATAACAATTTAATCTACTAAAACTTAAAAAGTTCAGTTGCTGACTTAAATTTTTAAGTATAGTCAAATTGTCATTTGAACAAATTATAAAATATAAAATAAACTAGTTAAAAAAATATTTGAATACTGTACAACATAAAAATTTAATTATTTGATGAGTTAAAGTAATGGAAAAGCATTTTGCATTTTGTGTTATTTTAGTAACATTGAGATAATTATCTGTTATACATTCTTCTGTTAATATTTTGCATTTTAGTTTTGCATTTTCTATGCTTGTTAATTCTAGATAAAGTAGTGTTTTTGTTGTTTTTAAATACGTCTATTTAGTTTTTATAAATTTTTATTTCAGTATTAGTTATTTTAGAGCATCAAGTTAAACTATTTAAAAATGAAAAATGTTGCTCTGGAAGGTTTTTATATTATATTATATTATATTTATATTATATTATATTTATTTATTTCAAGTAACAACTTTTTTTTTGGTTTTAATTTTTATTTTAGTTAACTATATGCATAAATATTGCGAATTTGCTATTGCATATGATGTTTAGATGATATAATCCACAAAACAATAATTGACTGGGATGTATCCAGACGCACTGCAGGAGTGCTCGTGAGTGTAAAGCGTGTGTTTGGTGACCCGGATCTGTGGTTCTGTGGGGTGTTTGAGTGGTTTCTGTGGTTGTTAATGGTGTCTGGACTCTTGATCGTGTGCTGTTGAAGTGTTTTAGTGACCCGTAGATGTTAGATGTATTGAGTTCACATCAACAGCTGTGTTTCTCACACTGAACACCAGCGTGTGTGTGTGTGTACCTGGTATTTATCACATAATGGGGACCAAATGTCCCCACAAGGATAGTAATACTAGTCAATTTTGACCATGTGGGGACATTTTTGAGGTTCCCATGACGAAGCAAGCTTATAAATCATACAGAATAAGTTTTTTTGAGAAAGTAAAAATGCACAAAGTCTCCTGTGAGGGGTAGGTTTAGGGGTAGGGTTGGTGTAGGGCAATAGAATATACGGTCTGTACAGTATAAAAACCATTACGCCTATGGAGAGTCCCCATAAAACATGGAAACACAACATGTGTGTGTGTGTGCGCGTGACAAATGAGGACATAAATGTGTATAATGACAAAGGTATGACAGGTATTACAAGGAGAAGGTGACTTTTCGGGTTTTTACCCCATGTCCCCACTTTTCAAAACGCTTATAAATCACACAGAATGGAGTGTATTGAAAATCTGAAATAGCAGAAAGTCTCCTGTGAGGGGTAGGTTTAGGGGTAGGGTTGGTGTAGGGCAATAGAATATACGGTCTGTACAGTATGTGAGTGAGTGAGTGTGTGAGATGTATCTACCAAAGAATTACAAATAAAACAAAATGACGGCTTATTTCTTATATACAGCCATCTAGAGGTTACACCCTGATATTGCCGATGATAAATGGTGCATAATTCATAGGTTAATATTTAGTAAAATCCCCTT